TGACAGCAATAACGTCCTAACAGGAACAAGACCCAGAAGGCCTGCTTTCTTTCTGACAGCCAGAAAGCAAAAGACATAGGAAGAGGCCAGGCTTCCAATATGCCTTCAAGGCCACACCCATAATGGCCTTCCATCAGGCCCCGTTCTCCTAAATGTCCCACCACTTCCCAGTAGTGCCACAGGTTGAGGACCAAGCCTTTAATGCATGGGCCTTTGAGGGTCAGTCAAGATTCACTCTGTACCCCAGGCTCACTGTGCAGTCCATGCTCCCAAGCCCCAGATCCTTAGATGGGGAAAACAGTTACAACCCAGAGAAAAAGGAGATCACCCAGAATGCCTTGTACTGGGAATTGAACTTGGGTCCTCTGGAAGAGCAGTCAGTGCTCTTAACTGCTGAGCCATCTCTTTAGCCCAGTCCTTTATTCTTAATGAAACACACACTGATTTTTTTTTCAATTTAGTGCCTATATTTCTCAAATTTATGGTAACTGTTTAAAATAAAAAAATATTAAATTTAAGTATTAGAAATAAAGAAATCAAAGCATTTCTTTCATAGAGAACTTGATTACAGGCCTAAGTATCCAGGGAATAAGCTCTAAAGTAATATTGAGTTTAAATGCAGACTTTGGGTGTAGCTCAGTGATAGAGTACTGCCTAGCATGTACAAGACTGGATCTGATCCCCTAATACTGGAAAAAGAGAAGAAAGCAGGCTTTTTTTTAACCTTCCAGAAATTGTGTGTGTGCTATAATTCATGTTTGTATTAACTGTTTATGCATATATCGCTTTGTGTAGATATATATAATGTCACATGCCATAAAAATGAATTTTATTGCTGGTGTTCAACAAAAACAGATGAAGCCGAGGGGGAATGGGCTAATGTCTGATAAACACCACCCTGAGAAGTCACAGGGAGCATGGCTGAGTGCTGTATCCGATCAGAAAAATAAACATCATCACACAGCAGGTTAAACTGACAAAGCAAATTTCAAATTATTAGCAAGTTCATTTCTTATTTGTATTTTTACAGCTACAACAGCTCATCTGATACAATAATAAAGAGGATGCCAGTGATGTTCACTTTAAAAGACACAATAACTACTGGCTGCCTGTAAGCTTCTCCCAGGGAGACAGAATACATGTCTATTCGCCCTAGAGAGCACAACCAACAACAGACACAATTCCACAAGTTCCGACTTGGAAAATTAGTTTATTGGGCTCATTCACAGAGCATGATTGGTGGGGGGTTACTTCCGGAAGTGTAGGTGTTCTAGTTAGCTTTCTATTGCTGTGATAAACACCACAACCAAAAGCAACTTGCAGAGGAAAGGGCTTATTTGGCTTACACTTCTGATCACAGTGGATCTCTGGGAGAAGTCAGGGCAGGAACTCAAGCAGGAGCAGAGGCAGGAGCTATGGATGAAAGCTGCTGACTGGCTTGCTTCTCCCAAGAGGTGAATCCGAAGTGTCAGATGCATTTATCTTTTTAAGTTCTTTAAATACAGCTGGGTGGTAACAGCACACGCCTTTAATCCCAGCACTCGGGAGGCAGAAGCAGGCGGATTTTTGTGAGTTCAAGGCCAGCCTGGGCTACAGAGTGAGTTCCAGGACAGCCGGGGCTACACAGAGAAACACCGTCTTGAAAAACAAACAAACAAGCAAGCAAACAAAAAAAGTTCTTTAAATACTTTACACCATGGGCTTTCAGTGCACTATGTGCTACTGGAGTCATCTTTAATAAATGTGGGTTTCATGGATTTGGAGAGCCAGCTCCAGATACTGCGATGGGTGACCCTCCCTGCCCCCCATAGCTGCATCACTCAAGTCCCACCCCAACATGGATGACCTCATGGAAGTTGTACCGCGGAGTCCTCCTTTCATTACAACAACCCTCCCTGTTGTGGAATATTAGTTGAAGATGTGTTACATTTGTTTATGCTGTGGAATATTTGTTTAAAGATGCAAAGATGTATTGCATTCTTTTATATTGCATTTGTTTAACTCTGTGGGGCTGTACTACTTTGCCTGTCTAAAATACCTGATTGGTCTAATAAATTGCTAAAGGGCCAATAGCTGGGCAGGAGAGAGAAATAGGGGGGCAGGCAGGCAGAGAGAATAAATAGAAGGAAAAGAATGTAAGAGGGGAAAAAATCAAGGAGCAAGAAAAGAAGGAGAAGAGGACACCAGGGGCCAGCCACCCAGCTACACAGCCAGCCACATAGTAAGAAGTAAGGAAAGGTATATAGAATAGAAAAAGATAAAACCCAGAGGCAAAAGGTAGACAGGATAATTTAAGAAAAGCTGGCTAGCAACAAGCCAAGCTAAGGCTGGGCATTCACAAGTAATAATAAGCCTCTGTGTATTTATTTGGGAGCTGGGTAGCAGGCCTCCCAAAAAGTAAAGAGTAAAAAGATCAAAAACAACCAATTATATCCCCCCACACACCCCTGGGCCTCATACATGCTAAGCAATAATCCCAGCTCTTAGCCCTCCTTTCTATAGGCTCTAGCATTTCCCAAGATTCCATGTGACAGGGGGATAACAGGAAGGACTGAAGGTTGGACTACCAGCTGAGGATCCCGATGCTTCTTCTTCTACTAACGGGACTGTCAATTGTTCCGTTACCATCACCACAGATCTGGCTAGCACTGTAACTCATTGTCAGTTAATGTGCTGAAGTATAGTGTCCACTCCTGGACGACCACAGAGCAAGGGGCATCAAGATCATGATGAGGAAACCTACAGAGACAACCAAACCAAACTAGTGGGAACTTGTGAAATTTAGATCAACAGCTGTGGAGCCTGCATGGGACGGGACCCTCTGCATAGTGAGACAGTTGTGTAGCATCATCTGCTAAGGGGCCCCTCACAGTAGGATCAGAATCCATCCCTGGTGCATGAGCAGGCCTTTTGGAGCCCACGTCTATGCTGGGACACTTTGCACAGCCTTGAGGCAGGGAGAGGGGCTTGGACCTGCCTCTATAAATGTACCTTACCTTCTTATAGGAGGGAATGGGGGTGGGGTGGGAGGGGGAGGCTGGAGGGGTAGGAAGAGGGAAGATGGGTATCTTTGGTATGTAAAAATGAATAAAAAAATTCTTAATAAAAATAAAATAAAATAAAATAAAAAAAGACAATCAGATGTTGGCATGAAGAAATAAACACATCTATGATAACTACACATACTATGCTAAGTCGGGTTGTCTTTGGCAAGTGACTTAAGAGCCTTAAGTCATTGGGACTCCTAATGCCTGTCTTGAGCGTAGTTTGAGGAAAAACGTACACAATGTCTGCACAGCATTTAGCACAACACCAGAAACATAGAAAACAGTTACTGTTATGAGTCAGTGCGTTAAATATAAACTAGAAAAAAAAAAAAAAACGAACTGGCTAAATGATCTAGAAATACAGACAGGAAAACATTTCTGTCCAATGGGGAGAGAGCAAACAAGTTTCTGAGCTTAGAAGCTTGAAGGACATTGTCCAGGTGCTGTGAATACTTTGTCCCACCCTAAGACACTCTGTATCTGTAAAACAGTGGCCATGGTCCACACCAACCTGTTGTCTGATTTCAAGCGTGCCTGTCAAGAGCTGGCAGGAAAGAACTCTGACTGTGTCTGAGCCTTCAGCTTGGTTTGGTCCCCACTGTGGTCCCTACTCAGTCCACCCGACTATGTCCATCCTCTTGCCACCCGTCTGGATCTGCTGTCCGTCCACCCACCCATCCTTCCTCCTGGACTGGGTCCTGCCCTTTCTTCTCTTTATTTGGGTCCCACCTCCAGCTTCACCGCAGACCTCTGACCCAAAGTGGCCTGACCTACAACAACAGCTTTTCCTCTGAAGCTCGAAGTAAAAGAAATATAACTGCTGTGGACAGGATGTGGGAGCAGATGTGGGGGATGGGAGAAGAGGGGGGGACAGGGCTGAGAGGCCCAGAGAACAGCCTTCAGAGAAAGTCCCCAAAACAAAGGAAAATATCTGACTTCGATATCCTTTTAGGGGTTGGTGGGAAGTCTCACAGGATTTTCTAGGATAGTTTACAAGGTGAGCCAGGTACTGGGTAGAATTCTAAATTTGGGGTTATAAAACTACAGGCCAGCATGGCTTCTTAACTCTATCAGGGAAAGGGGGGCACTGTGGAGGAACATGACCTGACTTCTTCAGGCTGTGAGATCTGGCCAGCTTGGAATGACCAGATCTTAAGGTGACAGGTTCAGGATCTAACAGAATGTTTAAAAACAGAGCAAAACAATTCTAAAGGAAAATGTCACCTGGAGGGTAAACATCTATCATTGAGCTCCTAAAATGGGTAGCTTCGGAATGACTAGAGCTAGGCTAGTGAGGCAATGAGGGAATTTCAGGATGGCCTGGAGTATTGCTCTCCACTGCCAAAAACCCTTTCAGGAGTGTTCTGGGGGGAGAAAGATTATGGGCCTTCCATGTAAGCCAAAGTGCAGTGAAATGGAACAAAAGCCTCCCTGTTTTCACTGGCTGGATTTGTCAGAGCCCCGTGGGCTCTTCCCTGTGGGCCTGACGGAGGTGTGCTTCTCCCTGCTCACTCGCCAGCTGAGCCATAGCTCTCTCTACTCACAGAGGGATGCAACCCTCTCAGCCCTAAGTCATCGACCAGACCCTGCTGCTTGCAGTCGCCCAGAGCTCGCTTGCTCTCCGTGCCTCGGATTCACCTAGATTCCCCTCGCTTCCCTCTCTTTCTCTTCTCTCTCTTTACTCACTTGCCACTCCAGCGGCTTCTTTTATTCCTCTTTCTTTCTTTCTTTCTTTCTTTCTTTCTTTCTTTTTTTTTCTTTTTTTTTTTTTTT